AGAATTACGAAACGTCGTAGAATAACTGACTTTTTTCGTCCACTGTGGCAAAGAGGAAAACGACATATATTCCTTTAAGGTGGGTTATTTTCACAAAAACGAGATGCAATAATGAAAAAATGATTATTAATGTTCATTTTTCATTTTTTTCCTATTCTTCTTTCTTCCTATGCTTCTTCCATATTTTCGTTTAAATTTAACTTTTTATACTAAATACATATTTACGCATATTTCTATATATATATATATATATATATGTATATATATATATATATATACATATATATAAATTTATATCATTTTAATACAGATTTACATATTTTCTGTAACCTAGAAATAGGTCTATGTATACTTTGTGTCTGTATTTAACGTTTCAATCTTTTGCATTATTTAAATATCAATTATTATCATAAATTTTAATGATTACATTATTTCATATAGTTAAATTTTAATGATGACATTATTTCATATAGTATTTTAGATAAATTTATAAACAATTTTAAATATTTAAATATAAACTATGAAAGTAAATACACGTAGATTAGATCAATAAAAATGAACATATTAGGCCTAGTAATCTTTATCTATTCATTAACACGAATAACATTTTCAATATTCTAATCAATTTTTATATAGCCGGAGTTAGTTTCGACCTAGGCAAACCTTTGCTAAAAAAGTACACTTTCTCCATCAAAAGGTTTCTTCTATGAATGGAATGACCTGTTCGAAGCACGAACTCCTGTACCGTTACGATGTTTATTCGTACGGGAAATCCACTCACGATGCGGTACCGTTACGATTTTTAATCGTACGGGAAATCCACTCACGATGCGGTACCATTACGATTTTTAATCGTACGGTAAATCCACTCACGAAATATTTTATAATTTTATTATATTACCACCTTTTTATTACATAGATCTTTTTCAAAACATAACTGCTTTTATAACATTATATAGACCCATTAAACACAAAAGGTGCTCTGGCTTCGGGGGCTTCGCCCCCGACCCCACCGGGGCCCTTAGGCAGGCCCCTGCACCCCACGCCCAGAGAACCCCCCCCTTGAAATGACCTGGCTACGGGCCTGGTCTAGATACACGGTACTGTATCGCTACTTCCATTTCCTAAAGGTACGGTAAATGGCAATGCACCATTACCGATTGGGGGAAGTACCTAACAGCGATGGTGCTACATAAGATTGCGTAAATCTATGGTTGCATATGTATTCACAGGTACTGTATATGAATTTTGGTCGGATTGTAATGCATGGTAATTTTGAGTATATTCAGTATTAACTTAGGCTTCTCTTAGACTAACACTTGGGATTTTAGGGGGTTGAGAACTTCAGACTTGTTACTGTATACTGTTATGCTGCCAAGCAAAGAGGCTAAGGCCTAGGGCTATGCCAAAATATTGGGCCAGGATTCATTCATTGTTTGATATGGCTATAAATGACTAGTCTCTTCCAAAGTGGAACCCTCTGTCTATTTATCACTGACATACTGTACTATTTGCCTAGCTAATAATGTTCAAATAATACCCAATACTGTACATCATTCATTCGTCACAAACACCTCCAGTGGTGTATCTAGGTGGTGGGTGCACAACCCCCCAAAATACTTGCACCGCCCCACCCCTTGTCCTCCAAAAATCATGCTTAAGTAGTTAAAAATCAACTAAAATCACCTTATTTTGTGAAATACTGTAGCACCCCTCTCCTAATCATCCAACCCCCCCTCCACCCCCCCCCCCCAATATGTCCTTCATTCCCCCATCAGCACCCCTCTCCCAATTTCAAGGCTCCTAGATACGTCACTGCACACGGATCTCACAATGTGCGATCTGCAAAGCCACACACATTCCAGCACTTCAACTGATGATGGTGATGTAATGCTATGTACTGTACCTTTAGGAAAGGGAAGTAGTGATATCTGCAGACACCGTGAGTAATTTATGCACTTTATGTGAAGCCAGTGAACATTGAAAAGGAGAAGAGGGAAAAATAGATAAACAGTAGAAGATTTTGATTACCATACCAGAATATTGTTAGACTTTTCAGTTATTCCAAGTTGCAATTACAGTAAGTCAATTTATAATCACATTCTCTTTCTACTCACCCAAATAGACATGCAAAAAACATTAGTAAGAAAGCTTTGTGTGTATGATGCATGGATTTCTAGTGTTTGATCTTACTTTGTTCAAAGCTTGAGTCTCCAAAACTTGAATCTGCAGTCATTGTGACAAATGACTTATCATCTGAAATAGAATAAACAAAAATAAAATTTTGGTACAATTTACAAATTCATCATCATCATCAAGTGATCTGCCAATCGGCAGGTTCATGGCAACCACTCCCCACATCTCTTCCGATCTACATGTAAATTAAATAATGTAATTAGTGAAATTTAATTTTTTAAATTTAAAATACTTCTACATGGTTTAAGGAAAAATATAAAATGTAAAAACATGACAGTAAGATATCATTATCAGATTTAAACTTGGAATAATAAAACCCAGCTAAGTAAGCCAGCTACAGTACCTAGGCGGAGGTTGCGCAAAAATTTGCCTGACGAGGGGGGGGGGGGATTCTGAGGTGCCACAGGAGGGGGATGATGTCACCGACGAGAGCAAAATGTTAGGCGTCGCTCAAAATCTTTGGAAAATGATAAATATGTATGACAATTTAGGGGCTTCAAAAAAAAAATTAATAGGCCTATTATTAACGTTACATGTAGATTGAAGAAACGCTGTGTCTAGAGATCACATTACCATATCTTATCTTCCGTTTGCTAAAGGTACGGTAAATTGCATCATCAAATAAAATGCCGCCAACATCCCAAGGCCTAGCTACTGTAGGCCTCTTCGCCTACAGCAGGCCAAGGCCTAGCCTATTCCGAGACACTGCTGTCTGTGTGAATGATTCATTGTTGACATTTTCGTCATTGAATGAATGTCTTGTCAGAACACTGCATAGGCTAGACCTACATTTCTAAGACTGGGATATGGTCTAACCTTTTCCTCGGGCCATGGCAAATCAGTCAATTATAAACATACGGCACTCTTACGACGAAATATTTATCTAGTCCAGCCTAGGGTCTAGGCCGTGGTGGTAGTGATACTGATTAACTATAGTTACCCATGGAGTGCATTCTTGTTGCGTTTTTCCCGCGACCGAGAAAAATACAAAGCGGAACGAACAATAACAAGTGCCCCAAAAAATAAATAATTATGTGCTTCTTATCAGGACCTATCATGTGACTATCTGAAGTCAACTTATAAAATATCAAGAAAATGGAAACAAGAAAACTGAAGTTATTTAGAAATCATAATACCCCTGTACATTTCGAAATTACCATTTAGGTTCTCCATCCATCAATCTGTCCAACTCTCTCAAGGGGCTGCTGACTGACTCAACTCGAGCGTGGACGGTAGGTATCACAGGCCTCCCGTCGTATCAACAAAGATCGTATAGCGCCGCTAGCCGCTGCGCGGCGCTGTTTGGTCGAGAAATTTGGGCAACTTGAGGGCGTACGCTAGATTTTGCATAATCGGTTATCGCCAGGCAGGCTGAAATGTACTGAATAATACAGGTCTTCTTCCAATCAAAGACACTTTTGGGACCGGCGATTTAGTGGTCTTTAGCTTTGGTCTTTAATTAGAATTCCTCTAATTAAAGACCGCCACTAAAAGTAGTCTTTAAATACTGTACCTCTTTTGGATATTGACCACCGAGTTAATAAGAACTGATGTTGTTTGTTCTTAAACAACTTCTTGGAATCTGTGCTTGCTCTACCCGAATCTCCATAACAATCAAACTAAACCGTTATATGGTCCTACCAAAACTATAGTGGCCTACCGGTATTCAATATAGGGCACTGTAGGCCTATACACGATTAAAATATCATCAATATTTTTATGTAGGCCTATATAGTCATCCATATGATCATTTAAAATGCATTAAAGTCCACTATGAATTTTAATGTATTTTATATTTGAAGGGGAAATTTTCAGTTGGGTCGACAAAAGCATAATATGATACATTAGATAAACCTCACTCAGAGTATGCTACAGTAAAGGGAGACCCAGAAGTTGTAGTGCCAGTGATATGTTTGTTGAGGTAGACCCTCCTTTATGAATTTCTGAGGAAATCAGTATATTTCTTTAGGTGTAGAATCGTAAAGTCTGAAAATGAGTTAGTAATGAATTGTCGATAATTTTTTAGAAAAAAAGTTGAACAAAAATTGTAAGAAATTGCTGTATTAAATCTCTATCGTGTACAGTAAATTGTTATTGTGTTTCATGTACATTATGGTACGATGGTACCTGTATTATAAATAATATATAATTTTCTCTTTTTTGGTTGTTATACAATTACCATATGGACACAGATTCTGAAATAAAAGAAACGATGATTAGTATGTTTGAATGTTTTATTCTAAGTGTTTTAGAATGGATTACTGTAGGCCTATGCTGTTGATTCTCTTAACCATTCTTTGGTAGCCACACACTATCCAGGCAAAATATCCATTTAACATCAAATTCCTGCGTTAGTCCCACTATCGGATCGGTATCCAATAGAGCACTGTGGCACTAAAACATCGGCTTTAATGTATGCCTAATATTTTGATGTCTGTATTTATATTTAAAAGAACCAAAAAAAAAAAAAAACTGCACTAAAATTATCTCTAGTCCTGTATATTTTAAAAGTAATCTAATAGAATCCCTATAATTACAGACTGCCACGAATTAAGATTTCTCTTAGATGGAAATAATGAATTAAATATTTTAGAACAAGTCCTATACTTGTTTTAACCAACTTTCCATTAAAATATTACTAACATCACCATTAATTAACATTATCGTCATAATACACAAAACACACATTTAAAACATTATCTTACGATATGGCTTTTGGCTAATATTTTTATGTTTCAGTCATAACACAATTTATTATAGAAAACATTGCATTAACATCTTTTGGAGGGAACATTTTCAGTTGGGTCCACCAAAACCATGGTCTTTGGACTTTAAATAGAGGAATTCATTAATTGGAGGGAACATAACATGTCCGACAGGGGGTCTGAATCAGACCCTCGGTCAGGGTACCGCTTATGTCGCCCAGTAAATCGACTCAACATAACCCAACTGACCGTCAACTAGTTGCCAGCGCGCTTATGTAGACTTTCACTCGCGATCCCACAACTACAAGCAACTCAGTAGAACTAGTTTACCCAGAGCGCTTACTGTATGTCGCCGCCGACTAACTGCAACTACTAGTACTAGAGGTAACAACTCTGATTACACTGACACATCCATTTAAATCAAGGACACTACGACCAATGAACAATTTAAATTTTACCCTCAACTAAATTAAACTTTGCACCATACTTTCTAAAACCATTTTTACCTTCTCCCTGGCAATGCAAACATTGGTTAAAAAGTTTACCACACAAATAAAATATACGAGCTGTACCGGGTAAAGATAACTTGATTTCTTGCTTCGAATAAGGTGTCCATTCGTGTGGATGAAGATAAGCCTATCCAAGTGAACATAAAGGGGTCGGGAACCAGGATATACCTTCGACTTTAAATATATAAAGATTGAAAAATTTTAAATACAGACACAATGTATATCATTCATGCGTTCATTCGAGGGATGCGGTACTGTACCGGCATAGGCTATATCTATTATACACTGTACCATTAAAAGAATTGCAAGGAAATCATAAAAATTACATCAAATTTGAAACGGTCAGGGATATGGCGTTATGGAATAATGGCATGAAGAGAAACAATCATACGGTTAGCCATTTGACAACAATGCGTTATCAATAATATTAAACTTTGTAAGCTAAGTCATGGGTTTTTAAAGTCAGGCTCCGGAGGAAAAACATTTTCACACATTATTCCCCCAGTTTTTAAATATTAAAAAAATCTGTATCTCATTCACCGTTCCCCGGTTTTTCGTCAAACAACTTTTTTCTGTCTTAGAAAAATCAGTTCTACAACATATCAAAAAATGTTTTTCTTCCGGAGCCACTTTAAGGGCATGATTTTAAAAGGGATGGGCCTGTTTGTGTGCAATCCGGGAGCAAAGTACACAAAAGGTTAAACAAACATTTGTACTGGTAATATGTGAATTGAAAGTATTGTATTCTTTCCTCACACGCCATGTCCATACAGTCATGGGTTCTCTAACTACCATCGCTCTTACGTTTTCTTGTATCATTGCGTTAGTTTACTCTCAATCCCCACACGTAACTACACCATTGGGAAATGTTACAGGAAAGACGATTCTTTTTTCGGAAGATTCGTACATAGGTGTCAATAAGTATATCGATGTCTACAAGGGTATTCCATACGCCGAGCCCCCGGTCGGTGATCTGCGCTTTGAAAAGCCCCTTCCGAAAGAACCTTGGTCAGGAACACTAAATGCTACAAAATATAGTTCTTGGTGCATCCAGTCTGGTGTACACTATACAGTTGTGGGTGAAGATGATTGCTTGTACTTAAACATCTTTGTACCTCAAACTAAGGTAACGGATATCTGATTTATTCAGTTAACTTGCATTAACACCGAATTTTCACATCGAGAGCCTTCCAGGAAGTCGATCGTAAACGTCCGAATTTCGATTCGGATCCGATGTGAATGCAGGATTAATGGTTTGGCTTGGGTTATTTTTAGACGCCTATAAATGCGCGTGATCAAAGAAAATTTGCAAACATAAATTATTAAATGTGTATGTTCTTATAAATCATCAAATTTATTCATTCCATTTATTACAAATGCAGAATGAAAATGAACACGGACATTTACATCCATGAGCTAAATACAACAGGCGTATAATATTAAAACAGCAACCAGGGTAGGCCTATACACATAGACCAGGCTTCCGAACTGTCCGTGGCAAAAGTTGTTTTAAAATTTATGGTTTCTATTTATTATTATTCATAGCCACGCAATGCAGCTGTCATGTTCTTCATTCACGGGGGCGGCTTCGTAACAGGCACTGCCTCGACAGACGATTACTCTGGGGTGGTATTAGCTGCCACCGGTGACGTCATTGTAGTAACCATCAATTACAGGCTCAACTTTTATGGTTTTCTTACAACAGGTACGGACGAAATATGTTCATCTTTAAATACCTTTTTCAATATAAAACATCATTTATCCAGCAACGCAATCTTCTATTTACAGATTAAAATAGGAAGATGTAGGGTAATTCTTGATACTCCTGTATAATATTATTATTATTATTATTATTATTATTATTATTATTATTATTATTATTATTATTATTATTATTATTATTATTATTATTATTGTGACAATTACAGATTAAAATAGGAAGATACGGTAATAAATTAGGTAGGGTAATTCTTGATAGGCCTATATAATATAATTGTTATGTTTAAAATTTGTCAATATAATGATTGTGACAACTGAGTTTGGATTGCCGTGCTGAACAAAAAAACTCTATAACAGACTAGCGACGTAATAGCCTAAAGGCCAACTCAGGCAGCGTCGGCCGACGCAGCCCGACGCGATTTGTTGTCGCGTCGGGACTGTGTGAGTTGAACGCAGACGCGATGGTGTGCGTCAGGGGCAGTCGCGTAGTAGAATATTAAACGTGTTTAATCCATAGAGATATAATAAGAATACTAGAGCGCTAACCCCAATGTATTCGATGTTCGAAATACGCAGAACTGTGTGTGTGTACCAT